TTCCTAAGAAAAATATTGTACATCTGGCTACTTAAATTCACATTCTTGTTGTAATCTGAGTTCATTTGACTAAGTTATCTAACATTTACCTTAGTGACCATACTGAGAGGTTTCTCTTCTTAATGGGTTGTTCACCTGTCTCCTGAGATACACATGCCTTTGTGGTCTGCTGAGATACTTACATCCCCATTCTTGTGAAAAATATACAACATAAACTTATATCTTACCATTATGCGCCTATTGCTAAATTTGATGCACCCCACTCCCTGAGCGACAGGGTGATATAGCTAGTTTGCTTTTAAGTTGCTTTCTCATTGACACTTCATCTTCACAGACTTAATTCACATGCGCTACAACAATATAGCATGCATATATAAATGTGTTAGTCAAATATAATATAATGATAGTGATAAGATGTTTTATTTTAAATTTCTCTTTCCAACACAAAAAGGGCATATGTTGCATGGGTACCTTAAACTAATTATTTTCAGAATTTTCCTCGTAACATATTTCATTTACTTATCTTTATTGCACATGATATTTTACCATTGCCATTGCCGGGTCCCAAGCCTTCGATGTGAAATGTGGAGGGTTGCATTTAGTAGTCAAAAACCAGCGTAAAGTATGTCGAAAAATCATGACATGATTCCCTTAAATCCTTGTAAATGCTAGGGCTGCTTCTGGAAACGACGTGTTGTATGACCTGATACAAAGAAAAGTGTCCAAGGGACGTTATACTGTCGCTTGGGTGTAGTGTCAAATAAGCAAGAGTTCCTACATTACAGATGGATGCGGGTAAAGAAGTAAGTCCATGAAATTAATATTAGGATAGTATCTTAGAATATAGGTACTCAATGGTAAATTAATGAACTTAGTTGATATTATGGTTCATAAGATGATTATCTTATGTATTCAAGAAACTAAATCGGTTCGAGAAAAATCTAAGGAGTTTGATAGCTTAAGTTTTAAACTTTGGTATTCAGGTATAAGTCGCAGTAGAAATAATGTAGGTGTAATTATAGATAAGAGTTTGAAAAGTAATGTTATAAAAATTAATAGAATTTGAGATAGAATTATAGCCCTTAAGATTGTTGTTGATACGAATATTTTTAATGTTACAAGTGCTTATGCTCTTCAAATAGGTTTAGATATAGGTTCAAAAAAAAAATTTGGAATGATCTTGAAGAAATAATGCAAATGATATCTCTTGAAGAAAGAATTTTTATTGGAAGAGATTTAAATGGACATGTTGGTAGAGTGGTAGAAGATTTTAGAAATATTCACGGCGGTTATGATTTTGGAGTGATTAATGAAGAAGGTAGAACCGCATTAGATTTTGCTTTAGCGTATGTTTTTGTTATTTCTAATACTTTCTTTAAGAATATAGATGAGCATATTATTACTTATATGAATGAATTTAATAAAACAAAATTTGATTATTTTCTTATGAAAAGAAGAGATTATGGAGAATGTAAAAATTGCATAGTCATTCCACGTGAAAATTTAAGTACTCAACATCGAGTTTTAATTTTTGATTTTAAGATGAAAAGTTGTAAGATAATGAATAGTAAGAATTATTATCATAGAATTAAATATGGGAATCTAAAAAACAAATTATTTTTATGAGTAAACTGCAAAATTTAAAGATTTGGGATGTTCATGAAAAAATAAATTATGTGGGAGAAAGTAACAGAGACTATTAAACAAGTGACAAAAGTGGTATTTGGAGAATCAAAAGAAAAAGTCATTATAAATAAAAAAAGTTAGTAGCAGAATAATAATGTTCAAGAAAAATAAAATATATGTTGTGTTATAAAAATTTGTTTAAATATAAAAACTTAAAGAATTGGGAAAAATAAAAGGTTATTCGTATGGAGTCTAATAGAATAATTTGTGACGCTAAAATTTTTTCTTTTAGTGATCTTTATTATAGATTATATACTGAAGAGGATAAAAAATATATGTATAAACTAGCCAAACAAAGGTAAAAGAAAATTAAAGATTTAACTCAAGTTAAATGTGTTAAAGTTGAAGATCAAAAGTTGTTTTTTTCTTAATGAAGATATTCAACATAGGTGCGTGAGCTATATTGATAAGTTTTTCAATGAAGTTTTTGAAAGTATGATCAACCTTATTGATTGTAATATCGTTAATAGTATACAATTTTTTATTTTTACCGTCACATTAGTAAAAAAAAAATTGAGAGTTTAAAGAAAATCATGGGTAGAAAATTAGTAGAACCTAATGATATCCCAATTGATGTATGAAAATATTTAGGAGATTTGGGAGTTTCTTAGCTTACTAAACTCTTTAATATTATTTTAAAAACTAAAAGGATGTCTGAGGAGTGAAGGAAGAGTATTTTGGTCCACATTTTTAAGGATAAGGGGATGCACAATATTGTGCAAATTATAGAGGAATTAAGTTGATGTGTCATACTTTAAAATTATAAGAGAGTAATTGAACATAGGTTAAGAAGTGATACAAAGATTTCTTATAATAAGTTTGGATTTATGCCAGGTAGATCTATTTCGCAAGCTCTTCATTTATTGAGATGTTTGGTGGAGAAGTACGATGACAATAAGGAGGATCTACATATGATTTTTATTGATTTTGAAAAAACTTAGGATAAGGTTCCAAGAGATGCATTTGGAGAGTTCTAGAGAAGAAAGGTGCTGATGTGACTTATATTCAAGTCATTAAAGATACATATACTGGAGCTGTTACTTGTTTGAATAGGAGGATTGATCAAGTATTTGTCTATTTTGGTTGGATTATATCAGGGATTGACTTTAAGCCTATATATTTTTGCTTTAGTTATGGATGCTCTTACTGGACATTTACAATAGGATGCACCTTGGGTGTATGCTTTTTGCCGATGATCTCCTTCTTGTGGATAAAACTAGAGAAAAAGTTCATGAAAAACTTGAATTATGGTGGTCTACTTTGGATTCTAAAGTCTTTTATTTGATTGAACTAAAAATGAATACATGAAATGTAATTTTAATAGTAGTAGCTCTTGTGACAGAGTTGTAACTGTTGGTGATCAAATCATTAAAATGTGTGAACGTTATAGATATCTTGGGTCTATTGTTCAAAGTGATGGTGATATATATGGAGATGTTATTAGTAGAATTCAAGTTGGTTGGTTCAAGTTGGAATTCAAGTTGGTTTGTTGAAGTGGAGGAATGCATTGAGCCTGTTGTGTGATAAGAAAAGTACGGATGAGATTGAAAGGAAAATTTTAGATGATGATGGTGAGACCTGCAATGCTCAATGTCGCAGAATGTTGGCCTTTAAAACAAAAGCTCAGAACAAAGTTAAGTAGTGTTGCTGAGATGAAAATGCTTAGGTGGATGAATGGCTTGACACTTTGAGACAAAATGCAAAATGAACATATTCGTGATAGGATTGGTGTAGCTCCAGTGGTAGATAAGATTAGAGAAAGACATCTTAGATGGTTTGGTCGCATTTAGATCTTGTTAGGAGAGTAAATGTTTTAGATTTAACTGATGTTAAGAAAGGTGGAGGCAAACCTAAAAGGACTTGAGCATATTGTATAAAAAATGATCTCAATCTATTTGAAGTAAATGAAAATATGGCACTCTATAGGACTCACCGGAGAAAAAACATTCATGTTGTTGACCTCACTTCGTGGGATAAAGGCTTGTTGTTATTGTTATTGTTTAATATATTTTACAATGTCAAGGATTTAGTAAGCATTACAATTTACATTAACCCTCTTGGAGGCATGAATGGCCTAAGTTATTTTTTCTAAGACATTCAAGAGAAAATAATGTGTGCATGAGTTTGGATGAGAGAGACAATTTATCGTATTGTAGTTATTCCTTGAGGAGACATAGGAAAGGAACATAGAGGGGCGGGAGAAAGACTTGCAATGTGCGAAGTTTTGCATCCATTTTCTAGGCAAGAAGAATATCCACTAAGTCAAACTTCTTAGTATTTATTCAGCTTTCTTGAGTGTTGAGAAATGAGAATAGAAGAGGAGAAGAAATTACAGTAGGGAGAAATCACATCTAAGATGAAAGTATGATGTAAATAAATACATTAGATAGCAAGAAAAATGAAGGCCTTTGGGTCTTCTGTGAGAGTTGCTGGTGCACTTCAATGTAACTTGGAAGAACAATTATTAAATTAATAATTTTGGGTAACATAGAATGCTTGAGGTGAGGTAAAAGGTGAATCCTCGGACAAGGCTTTGAAGAATATAATGCTAATAGCTTGTAGATAGCCATACAGATGAATCGAGAATTAATAGCCCATGAATTATCATCATTATGGAAATTTATTGGAAGAAAACATAACTTTGACATATGTTTGACACTCATTTTGCTAGCTTAAAGGACACCAAATAAGCCAATATTTGATCATATATCTTCTCAAGGTCAATAAAAAAATGTAAGATCATTTATTTGTTATGTTTACTTCTCAATCTAGTTAACTTGTGGCACATCACGTCAGGGTGACGTCATAAGCCACCCTTGCGATAATACATTACTAGTAATATTAAAAACAGCTAGAAGTGTAGACTGAAAACAACATTAAATAAAAAAAAAGTAAAAAACCATAAAATTGCTTGAACTCGTCGAATTTTTTTTTTTTTTTTTTTTTTTAAATTATGATGAATGTAGACTGAGAAGGCTTCCAGATAAGGATGAGGTGCATAATGAACTACTTAAGTCCTAAGCTTGAGACAAATTGGACCGGTTGGATGAGGACTATTTAGTTTTAATATTTGCACAAATCACTTGGATTTTTTTCTGTTATTCTTAATTTTTATTGATATCGCATTGTTACATTGTTATTCAATAAATTTGACACTTGTAATTAATTTAGATGTTCTTGATGTACGATTAATGAGTATAAAATGCATTTTTTTAGCACTACATATATTTAATATTTGAAGTAATATCTAGTTCTAATATTTGAAGCAAGCAATAATCTCCCTTTTTTTCTTCTTTTTAATGAAATCTCTTCAGGTAATCTATAAATCAGCATTGGCCATGGTTAGTTTAGACCCTCATGACTGTGTTGCCGTTGGGGATTCCCTTCTTCATGACATTAAAGGAGCCAACAATGCTGGAATTGAGTCAGTGCTCATCACAGGGGGAATCCATGCCGCTGAACTTGGGCTTGATGGCTTGACTGAATCTTCTGATACTGAAGCTGTGCGAGCCCTAGCATCTAAATACAATGCGCATCCTTCTTATGTTTTGCCTTCCTTCTCGTGGTAGAGGGTTCTGTGTTTAATTTAAATTTATTTTTCTTTTTTTTCATTCGATTTTTAGTATAGTAAGCCATTCAAATAGGAACATTTGTAATATATTTGAAGTCAACTGGATTTTGAATATTATTGTATCATTAAAACTGTTGACACAAATCTCAAGACAATTGAGCGGCCCAGGATAGTGGTCGGATGATCAAGGAATTAGATCAAAAGAGAATGATCTGAACTGTTCATTCAACGATCGATCTCCCGGTCGGGGTCAATTTACATACTATGACAAGGGATTCAATTGGCGGACCATGCCTCCAGTCCCGATCTCCTAAACGCTCCTTACAAATGCTCCTGATCGTAGCTAGTCAACCGACTGATTTTTTACTTTCGCAGATGCGATTGCCATCCAACTATTCGCCTCAGTCGATCTAATTAAAATGCGTCAACTAGTTGGTTACTGTCATATTCAAATTCAAATTGTAATACATATTTGATATAAAATTAGCATAATTAATCGTATTAAGGATGGTTTCTATAATTGTTCATTCTGTAGTTGTATAAATACACATCTATAAATAGGAGGTAAGAAGAACAAAGTGACTCCTTTCTCAGTTTCTCAACTATGATTTGCCTAATTACTCTCTTACTTTCTCTATCTTCTGGCTCTAACTCTGAAGGTGTGTTCACAAAGATAACTTAGGATTCAATTTCCTGAAAGGTTGTACTGTGAGCGTGGACATGTCCCTGATGAGAATTAGAGCCAACCACGAAGGAGAATATCTACGGAGAGAAATAGTGCCCATGAAGTTCAATAAAGAGATGGTGCGCCGAGACATAGAGGAAGAGATCCAGACGTTGCGAACGCAAGTAATGGACCAGTTCAAGGCTCATTGGGCGGTCATGAACCTGCAAAACGCCTGATCGCTGCCCATGGAGGGAGAGTCTCAACGATTTCACCCCTAGAAAGCTACCCTCGACAATCCGCCAATGCCTGGCATTTGGCTTAGTGACCAGCCAACCGAAGGACCAGTGGATACCCATCTGGCAGATCGCACAACATCTACACCGGTATTCTCGCATCGGGTGGACCGAGTGGGAATGTTTGCTCGGTCGGTTATAGGCATCACCCTCTCGCGAAGGATCCTGGAAATAATACCCCCGATAAACCTTATATTTCCTCACTTCGACTCCTACAAAGGAAAGAGTCACATCGCCTCCTTTCAGTCGTCGATTGGAGTCCTACAAATTGATGATGTCATGAAGTACCGGGCGTTGCTAACCATGTTGAAAAGAAGCTGCGCTTCAATTGTTTAATAGCTTGTCAGCTGGAGTTATCCTGTCGTTTTTCGAATCTCGTAAGCTCTTCCTGACACACTTTGCTAGCATGCAAAAATCGAGGAAGGATGCATAGACCCTACTTCGGATCAAACGAGGGGAGAATGAAGGACTGCAAGTTTACATCACATATTTCCTAAAGGAAATGCCGGAAATAAAGAACTTGAACCCTTTCCTTGCGTGAACACCCTAAAATAGAGGATCCACAAGAAATGATTCAGGCATGACTTGAACCTACTCAAGCCAAGGACTTTGGCGAAAGTTTTGGAACTAGCAAATGACGACGTCGTCGACAAAGAAGAGCTTATGGAGTCTTTGGAAATTAAATTGAGAGTATTCAAAGAAGCGGAAGGACCAACATGACAACAGAAAAGAGTGACCAAGCACACGAACGGTGACCCAAGACCTCGGGACAACCGAAAGAGCAACCGTGGCAACCATGTTCAGCAGTGATGCCCCTCCGATCAGCGACCGCCCCGATACTTCGAGAAATCACACATATACTGAGAGATGCAAGTTTTGACACGGCTGAATGTCTCAATGGTCGAACTTGTCCAGGACAATAAAAACAATGACTACTTCAAGAAAGCCCCTCCACTCAAGATTGCACCAGCACTGCACAATCCAAACAGATATTGCGCCTACTATTGGGATTATGGGCACGACACGGAAAAATGCCTTCATCTCAAAAATTTTGTAGAGCTCATATAGGCTGGAAAATTGAAAGAGTTTGTCGTTGTTAGAGCACACACACATCAATAGGGAAA